CGCCGGTTACCCTCACATGCCACAGCAGTACGCCGGTTACCCTCACATGCCACAGCTGTAGGCCGGTTACCCTCACATGCCACAGCAGTGCACCAGTTACCCGCACATGCCACAGTAGTGCGCCGGTTACCCTCACATGCCACAGCAGTGCGCCGGTTACCCTCACATGCCACAGCAGTACGTCAGTTACCCTCACATGCCACAGCAGTGCACCAGTTACCCGCACATGCCACAGCAGTGCGCCGGTTACCCTCACATGCCACAGCAGTGCGCCAGTTACCCTCACATGCCACAGCAGTACGCCGGTTACCCTCACATGCCACAGCAGTGAGCCGGTTACCCTCACATGCCACAGCAGTGCGCCGGTTACCCTCTCATGCCACAGCAGTATGCCAGTTACCCTCACATGCCACAGCAGTGCGCCGGTTACCCTCACATGCCACAGCAGTACGTCAGTTACCCTCACATGCCACAGCAGTGCGCCGGTTCCCTCACATGCCACAGCAGTACGCCGGTTACCCTCACATGCCACAGCTGCACGCCTGTTACCCTCACATGCCACAGCAGTACGCCGGTTACCCTCACATGCCACAGCAGTGCGCCGGTTACCCTCACATGCCACAGCAGTGCGCCTGTTACCCTCACATGCCACAGCAGTGCGCCGGTTACCCTCACATGCCACAGCAGTGTGCCGTCTACCCGCATGATCATACAAGTACAAGGACAAAAAAAATTTAAACGCAAAGGAATTCCAACCGAGCGTTGGGGTGGAAGTGGGTGGAGCCAATGAGAGTTATAGTACCAATGGGCAAGCCAATATTTTAGCCTCAGGGCTTAAAGTTGGTCGTACTTAATTCTATTTTATATTTCCGCCGACATATTTTCCTAAAAATACATTGAAAAACCTAACTTTCAACCTGCTAAGGCACAAGTGGGCCACGCGATGGCACAAATGGGAGGGGCGCCGGCCTCGCGAGGGCACAGGTGGGCGGGGCGAGGGTACAAGGAAGCGGGCGCAGGCCAAGCGAAGGCAGAAGTGGGTGAAGCACGTGGTGCGCGAGGGTACAAGTGGGCGAGGCTCGAAGCGTGTGAAGGTAGGGGTAGGCGGAGCATGTAGCGTGCCAGGGTACAAGTGGGCGGAGCACGTGGTGTGCGAGGGTACAAGTGAGCGGGGCACGTGGTGTGCGAAGGTACAAGTGGGCGGGGCATGAAGTATGCGAGGGTAGGGATGGGCGGAGCGCGTGGTGCGCGAGGGTACAAGTGGGCGGGGCACGTGGTGCGCTAGGGCTGGGGTGGGCGGAGCATGCAATGTGCCAGGGTACAAGTGGGCGGGGCATGAACTGTGTGAGGGTAGGGGTGGGTGGAGCGCGGGTTGCCAGGAGCGTTTTGCCTCATGCGTTCAATTGATCATTTGTGGTGCGAGACGCGCGCGGGAAGTAGAGATGGTGTGGCGCGCTAATGGATTTCATTGGCGTCCATTAGAGGAGACCGCGCTCGCACCATTGCGTCCATTAAAACACTCATTGGCTCGATTAGTGAACTATATTGGCTCGATTGGTGCTGCCATTGACCACTTCAATTAACTCGTTCACACAATTATTGTGCCGTACTAGCCAGATTAGTGCGCCATATTGGCTTGATTGGCAGTAAAAATTGGCCATACAATTGAAACTTCCACGTGAAGTTTCAATTATAAAGTTCCTGGTATTCATTGGCTTAACCAATTGGCCAGTGATTGGCAGTTGAGTTTTACGCGATTGATATATAAAATGCGTGTTTAATTGGACGCAACATCAGGCTATATTAGCCTATATATTGGCTGAACATTTGATGTGATTGGCCGGGTAATTGGGTGTAACTGAACTTGAATTGATGTAAAATGATGTAAGTGAAAGTAAATGTACGTTCACTTATACATTTGTATATCGTCGACGTTCTTTCTGCCATTTTACGGTGAGAGAGACTAAAAAGGTAAATTGGATAATGGTTAGTTTGTACAAAAATTATTATATTCAAATTTATAATAACTCGAGGGGTAAAAAAAATTAATTTAAAATGTTTCCGAATGTGGTGATGCCTGGATTAATTTTTAGAAGCGTCTGAATGTCTGTATTAATATATTATGATATGTTTAAACATATATTAAATATACATATATTAGATCATTTCACACGGAATACATTTTCTATTCATGTGGATTTATTACAGATATACAGAAATATACAGAAACCGTTAATTTCTTGCAAATAAGATGCACTTACAGACCGTGAATCCTAAGCATGGATATACAAGTATGCGTAAATTTATAAAAACATGAATTCTGTCAAACAAAAAACACAGAAAAAATGAAATTTGTGCGTAATTTAACAGATAATTTGTGTGAATTCAAAAATTTAAATTTATTCAAATTTAACTTTTAACAGCAATTAATTTTATGCATCACGTAGAAGCTTTCAAATTCGTGTATAAATTCACACAAAAACCGTGAATTTATTATACATTCATACTCCATACATTTCATGCGCACGTAATTATACACAGACCCAGGAATTCATTTAAATGCGCCTCAAAGAAACGCAAAATTCTTTCATATGTACTACCTTAATAAAAATACCTATCATTAATTGTGATTAGTTTGGAAGTTTAATTTTAATTCAACTTTTCTTTACTCTAAGTTATTTGATATTATCTAAAATATAAAATATATTTTATTTTCATTTGTAACTTTATCAGAAACCGACAAGTTTTCTTTATTTAATAGATAAAATATATCGCCCATCCACTTGAATTATTTTTGGTTTTAAAACATAATTTTTGATGCTGAATAATGACGTTATTAATGTTTTGTTTTGTCTGGAAAATGATCCAGTAAATGAGCAGGATTATAAAGATGAATTATCATGTAATATGGATTTAATAGTATTAATCTGGACGTAAAATTGTACATTTTTTCATCGTACCCTAAAGACAAGAACTATCAACAATGAACTACAACTGCAATGACATGGCCCAGCAATGCCGATCGTCGCTGCGACAGCCTGAAGAACGTAACCAAACCAGTCACAGCAACGCTAGTTACCTAACTACAACCACTACTAGTGTGAGCCAGCAACAAGTCCAGAACCATCAGGGCAACCACTCGTCGACAGGTATCATCAACCATCAACCATCTTCGAGCAACACTCATCTACCACACGCCTCAGTTCTTGCTCATCTGCAAGGTTCTCCTGAAAGTCAGGTCTCACTTTCGGGCCTTGCCCAACCTTCTTCAACTCAGTTTTCGTCTCTTTCAGGACACCCACAATCTTCTCCTAACATACCAAATACGCCCTTAACTGGACATCATCACTCTAGTTCCAATACCCAACATTCTTCTCACTCTAATCATCCACAACTGACTTCTAATACCCAACCCTCCCATTCATCACTTACGGTAATCACCCAACCATCATCTAATACCCAAATATCTTCCCACTCCAGCAGTGACATACCATCTTCATCCAGTAACCTACACTCCCCACTCATGAGTGTACAACCACCTAACCACTTCCAGTCAGTGGTGACATCGTGTGGGGATGCAGGTATGGATGCAGGAACCTACACAGGAGGGTACCACAGCATCCACCTGATGTTGGGACTGTCCACGGATCTGATGTTGGCTCCTTTCTCCAGCCCCCAGCAATACGCGGACCCAAACCGTAGTCCTGACGAACCATGTCCTTCTCCGACGATGATCCAGAGACAACACACCATATCTCCCGTCAAAGTCACAACTTCTGTTCGATCATCAACCTCAAAACAACAGGTGAAGGATACCTATGAAGGATCTTCAAGAGGGACATCTGCCGAACTCACCTGTCGGTACGACAGTCCTGATCCACAAATGTCGGAAAGGACTTTTTTGAGGCCAGGATCGGAATACCTGAGCCATATCGCGCAGCCTCCTTCTTCCGACATGACGACCATCAACAGTGATAGCATCAACACAAGTTCCTTGATCAACGGCAGCGATAGCACCAACATCTCAGTTATCAACAGCACCAGCAGCAACACTGTCAACAGTTCTTCAACAGCCGCACAGTCTTCTTCAGTGAAGAGGAAACTTGAAGCAGACGCTGCAGGATCTTCTGAACTGCAGAGCGCTGCAGACACGGCAGGTTAGCAGACATAGAATATGACAGACAACTGAACTTTCATTTTTAAATCATTTTTATATCTACCGAATTACTAAATTCTTTTTGTTATAAATAATTTCATACGAATGAAATTGATCGGACGGGTAAATCCCTTCGTTAGTTAAAAACAAACTCGTAGTTTTGAAATTGTTAATTTTTTTAATATTCTAAAGAAAAGATTCATCAAGATTCATAAAAATATTCAAAGATTCATAAAAAGCGATTCATTCAAAATCTATCAAGGTATTTTTTTCTGAATGGATGCAGGATATCCGGCCTCATATAAAATTAATTGTAATAAACAGTTGAGACTTCAGCTAAAATAGATTCACGAAATTCATAATTATTTCAACAGGGGTTAAATGTAGTACAGGTGTATATAGTAAACCAGCATGATAAATAAGTGCGTGCTAAAAGGGCTGAATATATTATATTGTATGGCTGAAATAAATTTAGAATTTTATTGTACGGGCTAAAATTACTCAGGATTTTATTGCATGGGCTAGAACAATTTAGGATATTAATGTATGGGCTAAAATAACTTAGGAAATTAATGCATGGGCCAAAATAACAAAGGATATTATTGTATGGGCTAAATAGCTTTGGATTTCAATGTATGGGCTTAAATAAATTAGGATATTAATATATGACCTAAGATAACTTAATAGGATATTAATGTATTGGCTAAAATAACTTAGGATTTTATTATATGCGCTAAAAATAAATAGGATATTAATGTATTGGGTAAAATAACTTAGGATATTAATGTATGAGATAAAATATCTTAGGATTTTAATGTGTGAACGAAAATAATTTAGGATTTTATTTAATGGCCTAAAATAACTAAGAATTTTACTTAATGGGCTGTAGCAAAGGTGGGTAATAACTTAGGATTTTATTGTATGGGCTAAAAAAAGTAAAACATGTTCGAACTAAAAGGGTCGAACATATTCTATATGGCTACAAAAGCTTAGGCTGTTTGTGTATGGGCTAACGATATTTGCAGAGCTGGGCAGCGCTACTTTGAAATGTAGCGGCCGCTACCGCTACATGCTCTAAAAGTAGCGGGCGCTACCACTACCGCTCCAATTGCTTAAATATAGCGCCACTACCGCTACAATTGCATAAATGTAGTGGCCGCTACCGCTACCGCTACATGATCTAAATGTAGCGGGCGCTACCGCTACCGCTACATGATCTAAATGTAGCGGGCGCTACCGCTGCCGCTACAATTGCTTAAATGAAGCGCCGCTACCGCTACATGTAGCGCGCTATTGTCCACCTCTGGATATTTGTATGTAGCCGGCAATAGAAAAACATTTCATAATAAAATGTGAGCTAATAGAAAAATTCATGGTTACATATAATAATTCTGTATAGTTAGATAATTAATTTGAAAATTTGCAGGCGATGCGACGCCGTCCTCGACATCAGGCCGCAAGGCGGAGCCCAAGTCCAAGAAGGGGGCGGCGGAGGGCGGCGCCCCCACCGTCAAGAAGAAGAAAACGAGGTGATTAGTGATGTTATTGTGTGACATGGGTTATATTGTATAATATTATTACTTGACATATGTTTTATTGTATAAAAATTAGCATGTAACATATGTTTTATTGCTTTATATTATTAGGGTAACATGGGGCAGTGGGCCCACTGCGGGTCACGGGCCCATAGCGGGTTTCTCGCTAAGTATGGCAGATATTGGTCCGTGTTCTCTACCGCCGGTCGACAGTTTCACTGGAATGAAGTGTACGGATTTACGTTTTGCTAAGTGCTTGCGTTATTAAGTTCTTTGTGAACAACTGTTTTAGCCCAGATAATAGTTTTTTTTTTTTGTTTCTAAATAAAACTTTTTCGATTACTGTAGACGAAGCTTTCGAAATTACTTTGAATTATATTTTCAAAGTAATATTTATGGGGATAATTTTGAGACCAAGTTTAGACTATTAGCTTTTAAAATAAAATGTTGACACGATATAAATTGAAATGATACCTAGTGGGGCAACGGGCCCACGCGTGTCACGGGGCAAAGCGCCCATGGTGAAGTCTTGTGTTATACATCATTAGATTTGTCTCAATGACCTTTTCAAACTATGACTAGCTTTTTGAATTACAAATTACACTTCATATTGCATGATTTTCTGATATGTCGCCTCAAGGCAGCTGGTTTAGCTTCTAGTTATGCGTATGTATGACCCCTTATCGAGTTATTGACTCTTGCCTTGCCAAAAGTTGATTTCAGTCAACACCAATGAGCCAAAAGTTGATGCGTTTTTATGGTGTTGGCTGAAATCACGATTAGGCACGAATTCTCTGCACATAATATCTGGGTTATGGACGAAACTGGAACGAAGTTCTTTTCTGATCAACTAAATATATTTTTTCTAGTCAAGGATACATTTTTTTCATGTCAAGGACGAATTTTTTATCGCAAGGATATATTTTTCAAGTCAAGGATGTACATTTTTATGTCAATGAAATATTTTTTTTCACGTCAGTGATAGATTTTTTAAGCCAAGAGTATATTTTTTTCAAGCTAAGGATATTATTTTTTGAGTTGTTAAAAATGAACGAATGTCGTATTTTTTATTACATTTTTCTTATTTTTAACTGTAAAGTGTTGTTTTTTTCATTTTTAAACGAAAAATATGCAATTGTGGTAAAGGGACCAATGGTGGGCGCCTTGCCCCAAGCCCATGGACCCATTGCCCCAGTGGTGGGGCAATGGGCCCATTTTGACACTTTTTACAAAATGGTGTTTCATTAAAAATTGGAAAACTCTATAGGCGCCTAATTCACATCATACATTCCCCATTAGTTGTACCTTTAAACAAAACAAAGAACCACCTCGTATCAATTAAAACTTCATCAAAAATTTAGTTTAGAAAAAGGGGGGGCGCTACCCTATGTTGCCCTATATAAAAAATGTTTTATTGCTTAATATTATTATATAACACGTGTTTTATTGTATAATATATGTAAATTTATTACGTACATAATGCTTAACTTGTGTAGTGTACCCATAGTACTGCATGATTAACAAATGTAAGATCCCAGCTCTGTACGCCAGTTTCTGGTCAGAATCGGCGAGGAGGCCGGGCGGTTAAGCACAGCAGAATTGTAGCAGTGAGTTGCGAGTTCGAGACCGCAAAATGCTGTGAATGTTCTGCGATGTTAAGAATTTCTTCAACGTCGACACTTCTATTCTATTCTAAGTACACGTAGCGGCCTAAGTACACGTGGCGGCCTGAGCTATAGTACACGTAGCAGCCTAAATACACGTAGCAGCAGCCGTAGCGGCCTAAGTACACGTAGCGTAGCAGCCTAAATATATTACATTTTAAATAATATATATATTTTTATTTGTGTAGTTTAGCAGAAGCTGTTCTTTAATGCAGGTTTCATATATTTTTTTATTTTATTAATATATAATATATATTATGATTTTATATCTGTATAACAGGACGACGTTCACGGCCTATCAACTAGAGGAGCTAGAACGAGCCTTCGAACGTGCCCCCTACCCCGACGTGTTCGCCAGGGAAGAGCTTGCTCTGAAGCTCGCCCTGTCAGAGTCCAGGGTGCAGGTGTGGTTCCAGAACCGCAGGGCCAAGTGGAGGAAACGAGAACCTCCGAGGAAGAACTACATTCCACCAGGTGAGTCATAGATGAATATATAAAGGAAGTTCTAGAATTTATTGCGGTTTTTATGGATATTGGATCTATTAAAGTTCTAGCTCACCATGATCTCTAATATGGTTCCAATTTATGGGATTCCTTCACATCCAAATAGTTTTATTTTCTATGCGTAGCACGGGTACGTCCTTTTGTCGGCAAAATTGTGTCAGGATGACCCACGCGAATGTAAAAATTGCATCGGTATTTGGACAAAATCTCATTCATTTCACTGGCTAATAAGTTCGCTCTAACTCTGCTTAGATAGGAGAAAAATATCTTAATTTTCTCATAGTATTTAGCTTTTTATTTTGAATATTGCATTGCAACTATAAAAAGATATTAACTTTATATTACAAGAGATTTGATAAGAGGAAACGGTGCACAATGATATTCATGAAGTGTGACATATATTTTTGAAAAAAAGTTATATATTTTTTATATGACACATGACATATATTTTCTTACTAAAGTTATTCTTCGTAACTATTGTCATTTTACTTTTTATATTCGCTTATATTTTTTTAATACTAGATGTTTCAGTTATATTATTATTTTCCGTATATTTTAGGTCTCTCAGCGGCGGGGTTCGGGGGCCTCGGACCCCTGCAGTTCAGTGCCGGGGATGCAGCCTCGGGGGGCTGGGGCTACGCTCCCCACTACGACCACCTCAACCTCTTGCCTTCTTCTTCCCCTTCTGGTGCCTACTCCTACCCTCCTCCTCCCCACGCTCCCCCATCCCACGTATATGGGTATCCTCCTACTCTCCAGTCTGCCCCTCCTACGTCTGCAGCAAGCGACTACTACTTGCAGGACATCCGGGACTTTTCTTCCGCCCCTAGTCTTAGTCTTGGAGGTCTAGGAAGTCTACAGAGCTTCCCGCCAATCCTACAGGATGAACCTGAGTTAGGAGGTCACAGTGAGTTACATCATCACCTGCATCACCACCAGCAGCACATGGAAGGTGTTAAACAGGAGCCCGATGATGGAGGTACTTGTGGTCCGGACCTCATGGGGACCGCCATCACCTCCATGTCGACGCCTCTCATGGGCCACAACGATACTAAAGACGCCACTAACAACTTGCCATATCTCGCCTTGCCTTCTTTTTTAAGCTAAAGCAAGACCTGCAAGCCATGCAGCAACAAAATGGCGGTAGTGTTGAATGTGTTGATAATTTGATGTCAAAGAATTTATCTTTATCCCGTTTCATTTCCAACGAAACTCGCGATTTTGTTCCATCGGCGAGTGCATCCAATGTCGGTCTGGAGACCAAAGAAGTTCCAGGAATCGCTGAAACTGGCAAAAGCTTCACAGTTTATTGTGATCTCTCAGACAGTAGTTTTATCCAATCAACGCTGCCACAAAGATGTCCTCCATCAAACACAATTTCAATAATAGAAAACCCTATTCCGAAACTGCTGCCTTCATATTCTGATGAAACTGGGATCGTTTTTCGAAATTTCCAATCAGGGACAAGGCAAAGCTCTGACCCGATGCTGGCCAGTCTAAACCTGTTCCCTCAACACAACAACGGTATGATGTACGAAAATAATACCGTGATGAACCACCAGCCAAGCTTTCAAGAGAACGAAAAGCATAGGATGACGTCACAACACCAAGCGGACTTGTTTCTTAACGTACTAGATTGCGAGGCGGAGGACTACCTTGAACAGGCGCTCATGAATACACACGCAATCTTATCCGACCAGGAGCAGATAACGCACGACATATTGACTGAACAGCAGCAGAACACCCACGCCATCTTAACTGAAGAGGAGAAAACAAACGATATGTTCACTGAACAGCAGCAGAACACCAACGATATGTTTACTGAACAGCAGAACACCTACGCCATGTTCACTGAAGAGCAACATTCCAATCACCCCATACTGGCCGAACAGGAACATACCACCCACCCCATCTTGGCTGAAAAGGAACATACCACTCACTCCATCCTGACTGAACAGGAACATACCACTCACTCCATCCTGACTGAACAGGAACATACCACTCACTCCATCCTGACTGAACAGGAACACACCACTCACTCCATCCTGACTGAACAGGAACATACCACTCACTCCATCCTGACTGAACAGGAACATACCACCCACTCCATCCTGACTGAACAGGAACATACCGCTCACTCCATCCTGACTGAACAGGAACATACCACTCACTCCACCCTGACTGAAGAGATGCAACACCCAGAAAAATGAGCGAGATTTGGTCCAAATTTCTACGACTCGGTTTACCCCCTTGCAAAAAGACGCATCTGTGTTAAGGGAAGAAAGTGTGTCACTATTTTGACAAAATGACGCACTCATTTTTCTACGTGCATCGCGTTGTACCAAAAAGGCAACTCGTATCTCTGAGCTATTCATTATATTTTATATTGTACAGAACAAAACATTATTTTTGATGTTCTTGTAAGAATCTTGAAACATTTTTTTTTCTAACAGATATACGGAACCTAAATATTGGCCGTACTTTTTGAAACGTTTCATTGCAACAACGTTTTTATCTAGGATATCTAATGCCCTGTAGATACTAATACTTATATAATGAATTATTGTTGTAATAAATGAATAATAAGCGTTATTCACCACGCATTCACGGTCCAGACAAGTAAAACGTCTAGAACATCGTTAGTAAAAATATTATTGAAACACGTTCATCGTTTTCATGATGTGTAACTGTTCGCAATGTGCCTCTCTTGTTTTGCTTTATAGTATATGTAATAAATAACACTGTTCTCACTTACTTATTATACTTGATAACTGTATAGTGTTTTATCTTAAATTCACCATCCCTTCTCTGATATTGTTGAGGTTATTTAAATATAAAGAAATATATAAATCAAATGCCGCTTTTGACATACAAATCAAGTTTAGAATGAATTTATAACCGAATTAATGAAATCTTATCTGAAAAATTCACGCATACGAATTAAAATGAATACTTAATTTCATTAAAGATCATCACAAAAACGCATTATGCTTAAAAATTTTTAATCTTAATTAGAAACTAGTTTAGCGTTCAGGTCAACTTGACATCTCATCAAATGGAATGATTCAACAAGGAGCAGTGAATCACGGGTTTGAGGTCCAGCTAGCTGTGAAAATATGCAACGTCTATAATCAGATGCAGAGAAGACATAATTTTTTCTTCATAAGTGAAACTTCTACTTTATGTTAATAATAATATAATTAATAAACCATCGCCATATCCCCGTTTTACTGAAGAAAGCTAATAATGATCAAACACCATGAAGATTATTGCAAGATCTTATTCAATTTAAACCATTTACAATAGCTAAGTTGAACTCCGAGGTGACGAGAAGTTTTATACACATACACACAAATAAATGTTACATTAATGCCCATTTTTTAATAAGATAGTTTTATAATTAATAGGGGGGCTTCACTAATTAGATAATTAGAAGAGATCATTAACAATAGTTTCAAATAATAGAAAACTAATGCATTTTATTCGAGTAGCATCCATCCTTCAAGTATCCTTCGGAAACTCTTCCAAGAAGTATCATCTATCAAGTATCATTGTACTAATATCTATCACGTATCTTCTTACGAGTAATACGTCAAGTATTCCAGTTATCTTCAGACAAGTATCCTGTTGAAGTGTATAAGTATCTGTATTAGTTTCTGTATATCAATGGATTATAGCAACGCTGGATTATAGCAACGCTGGATTATAGCAACGCTGGATTATAGCAACGCTGGATTATAGCAACGCTGGATTATAGCAACCAGCAGGAGTATATCTATAAGTAAATCCCTCCAGAATTAATAAATAAATAATAAGGAATAATAATACAAAGAATATTAAAATAATCGTGTGGATATGAAGCACATGTTCTACATTAACAGTGACCGAATAACTGTAAGAACACACATGTTCAACAGCAACACACATGTTCAACAGCAACACACATGTTCAACAGCAACACACATGTTCAACAGCAACACACATGTTCAACAGCAACACACATGTTCAACAGGAACACACATGTTCAACAGCAACACACATGTTCAACAGCAACAGACATGTTCAACAGCTGTCTCTTATACACATCTAGATGTGTATAAGAGACAGGTTCAACAGGAACACACATGTTCAACAGCAACACACATGTTCAACAGGAACACACATGTTCAACAGCAACACACATGTTCAACAGCAACACACATGTTCAACAGAGACACAGACGTTCAACAGTATCTAAGTCATTTAAAACATACAAATATACACTCGTCCTACATAGACTACAAATGTATGTCGATAATTACAAATACAGCAGTGAATGCAGTGAATGTATGACACCTACAGCAGTGAATGCAGTGAATGCAGTGAATGTATGACATCTACAGCAGTGAATGCAGTGAATGTATGACATCTACAGCAGTGAATGCAGTGAATGTCTGACACCTACAGCAGTGAATGTATGCCACTTACAACAACAAAAGATGATGTATGAACATATGTCGTTTATAAGAGTTACCGTTCAACATAACTTTCCCCTCACACGTAGCGCAGCCTAACTCCTCATTCGCAACATGAAGTTGCACATGTTCAACAGTCTCGCCATGTGTAGAACTCATCTCAAAACATGCGGGGCATTTCAAACATGGGTCAGAAGTGACACGTTCCTTGGCAAGATGACGAAGTGAATGTTCTTTGTACGCATCTTTGTACTTAGACGTGTATGAACATGAGGGGCATGCGTATGTGGAGGAGTGGCCGTGTATGTGGCGGAGAAAATGTTTCATGAACTTGGTGGAGAACGTGCACTTGGTGCACACGAGCCTCTCATCCAGGTGCGTCAGGAGGTGGTCTTTGAACCTGTGAATAAATACTGCGTTAAAAAGAGTTTTTTAAGTTGAGTCATAAGTATAAAAACTAATACAAAAGACAGTACCTATAAATCAATACGTACTGCATTAACAAGTGGTTTTTAGTCGAGTCATGAGTATAAGAATCAATACCATAGACAGTATAAGTAAATAATGCATAAAAAGTATTTTTAACTTGAGTCATAAATATAGGAACCAGTACAATAGACAGTATAAGTAAACACTGCATTAAAAAGTTCACTAATTCATGTCTCCGTGAATTTGTAAAGAATTTATGAATAAAATGAGTCTTTTTACCCCAAGTCTATAAGCAAAAGGTAATGCATTAAAATTCAGGTTTTTACCTACCTAACCTACCTAAAATTCAGCTACCATTACCTAGTAGCTACCATTACCTAGTAGCTACCATTACATAGTAGTAGCAGCTACCATTACCTAGTGTTAGTAGCTAGTATTACCAAGTGGCAGCTACTAGTAATAGCAGCTATCATTACCTGTATTTGAACCTGGGAGTGTTGGGGCGCCTGAAGGTGCAGAAGGGGCAGACGATGTGTGCGGGGTGGCCGTGCTCCAGCGAGTGCTTGCTGAACTGGATGGGGAACAGGCTGGAAAACTCGCAGTGATGGCAATAAAGGCGGGAGTGCCCAACCTCTATACGGCTTTTTGGCTCCATGATATTAGGTTTTACATATCTCTCCTTTAATATTGTCTTCTAATATTTTAAATATTGTTTCCCTATGGAGAATGGAAAGAAGCTTTCTGATTTATGCAGTGTTGAACACAGGCAAATGTGATCATGATCTATGAACAAGTGATAAATTTAGAAAGATATTTATTATGATATTTATTCAGCTTCTTTACTCATATAATATTTAGAAAATATTGAGATTTTGGCACAGTTTTTGAAATATTTTTAGAGGAGATTAGGTAAAATGCATCATAAAAGTCAATCAAAACATTCAAATATAAAAGTAAAATTCTATGTGCACTAAACATACCAGAATTTTCTATGTTTATCAAATTCCCTATTGCATTTTTCCCCTCAATTTTTTGAAACTATGAAATCTTAGATTTAGTTGCAAATATATAAGAGCAAATTATAACATCAGTCAATCAAATTTACAAGAACAATACACATTTTTAATGACCAATAAAGCCATGAAATTGACTCATGTCTGGACCTCATCAAAGCTCTGAAGAATAACTAGAGTTTTGATTTATTTAAAGCAATTGAGTTCAATTTATTAAACACTTTGAATAAATTACAAGAGCTGATGAATAATAAAAGTAGTTTACATTTGAAAAAATAATCAAATCAGGCAATCAAAAATATTCATTTCACAGCTGTTAACTGCGAGTAGGTGATCTAAGTTGGTCCAAACCTTTGAATCAAAAATATATATGGCACAGCTGCAACTAACCCTTAAACTGAGTGCAAACCCTTGATTATTCTTCTATTTAATAAGGCAGCCAGACCGAGCAAGGCTGGTAGCTTCATACATAAGCAAAAGGTCAAGTAAATGAGTCCTCTAATAATGTATTTTAATGTTACTGGTAATCTAGTAAAAGAAACTAAATTTAATTATGGCCTCATGGATGGAAAAATTCTGCCTCAGGCCTGCTTTGAGATTAGTATGAAATTTTGTTTTCATGACCTGACAAAAGCTTAGCTATCTATTTAGCCTTATTTTTGGCCTACCTATTAAGCCTTATTATTGTATTTAGTAATATAAACTTTAAAAATTTCCTATTTTATTGAAGGTCAAATAAGGGGTGGTCAATAGCTTATCCCTTAGAGGTAACTTATATTGGCATCAGCATAGAAGACATTGCTAAATTTAGCCTGTTGCTGATACTAAACACAGTGTAATTTTCACAACTGGCCAAGACTTCAACCCACAAGTCACTGCTACAATCTTGGTGCTCTTTAACTCTTAGTTAATCCCTAAATGAGCTACACACACTGAGGGCATCATTGCCTTCACATTTTAATGCAAGGGCTCACTATAAGAAATGGTTAAGTTAGGATTTTCACCTATGGATTTTCAAGCTAAACCCGCCAACCATAAATTGGATGCTAAGTGCCCTAAATCTGTTACAATCAAACGGGGTAATAAGGAACGGACAGGGCAAATTGGAACAGCTGTCCCACATTTTGTAGAAATGTTGTAGCAGCTAAACTAATCAAAATATTGCAAAACTAAAAATAGTGGCATAAACTTCAACATTTTTACCTACTATCTATATAGCATAAAGTAAGTTAAAAAATATTACATTTATAACCTCTAAAAAATCTCTGAAAAAAAGTGTGAAAAGTGAGATTTTGGAGATGTACCTCTGTTAAGATCTGTAGCAAAAAAATATTTGCCGGATCAAAAAATTTTACTTACATAAAAGTTGCAAACAGGTTTTGGCTTAAAAACTTGATTAACAGAATGCACATATCTCATTCCAAAAAAATATGGCAGCCATTTCTGCAGGATGGGGTAATAAGGGACACCCCCCGGGGTAATAAGGGACACCTCTAAAAATGCAATTACAGTAGAACCTTGATTAGCAAAGGCTCCAGTTTATGAAAAAAAAATTAACAAAAAAATTTTGACTATATTTACTTTGCTCAGCTAAAAAAATTCACTTGACAAAAAATTAATGCATCATCGGTCATCACAAAATTGTGCAGAGAATGTCATAGATAGAATTATGCACGAGCAACATAAAATGAAAAGTAAATAAGGGGGGTTTCTACCCTAAAGTTTTCAGATTTGGCTTTTCCAGTTTTTAGTCTCATCTTAAAGCTGACATTCTGCCCTATCCAACGGTACCATTACCATCACTGTACATTGATTTATGCATTCACAAAAGATCATGAAAGAAGGGGGGTGGGGGAGTTCTTCAACAAATAGAATAGGAGGAAATTTGCTGCAAGCACTTTAAACAGAGTGTCTGCTTGAGGTGCACCTTAGTTACCCGCCTGGCATCATATGAGGAGGTGTGCATGCAGTTGCTCCCACCATCCTTGACTGGAATCAAACTCCCGTAAAGTTTAGTTTTGTATCCTTGCTATACATTGAGTGCCTATTGCACTGCGTGCGGGACTTTGTTGCACTCTCCTGAACATTCACACTTATTGTTACGGCATACCTATCTCCTCCTAGAGTTTTGAAGCTACAGCGATGAGACATTTACCATTCGATTTGTAAAGACCATACCTATTGAGTAACGAAGCCTTTTTTTAGAATTGTGCATAGTTTGGATTCAAAATGGGGGGAGGGGGGAAAATCTGAAGAAAATGAGAAGGAAATGGGAAAATGTGTAAAAAAACTAAGGCAAAAATAAAAAAAAATCAGGCTTCATTACTCGATTTGCATGGTCTTTACGAATCGAATGGTATATTTTTCAATGCTGTAGCTTGAAAACTGTAGGAGATAGATTTTCAAAGTACCCCTTTTTTTGTCCATTTTCTATGAATTTCACGTTTTCTATTAATTTTTCAAAAAAAATCCTATTAACAAAATCTGCTTGTATTTTGGTTCTATATATATGTGTGCAGTTTTAGAAAGATCCACTAGTAAATGTGGAAGTTTTTCTGGGGGGTAGACACCCCCCTTAACCTAAACTACAATATGATTTATTTCTCCAAAAAATATGATATTTGTCACTAGAATATTCCTCTCTGTGTCAGGTATGTTTTTTACTTTCTTTTTTTGTTTTAGTGAATTCGATGGACTCAATTAGAATGGAGAGAAATTACAAGCTGTCCTGTAAGCTTACAGATACAGAAGAAATGCTACATGGCTGCTGATACAAAGCTTGCAGTGGACAGGGTTGTTGTCAATGCTCAATGGCATTTTCATGGAAATGGTAATTTCACATCAATAATATGGTAATTTCACATCAATAATATGGTAATGTATAGATATGGTAATATCATACCAATAAAGGAAAAACAAGCAGAAATCACAGAAAATATCATTTATTATACATCTACATCATCTACCAAGGAAAAGGAGGACTTCAGAGTACTGTTAGTAATAGATGAGTACAGTATATTCTGCATGCTTCAAACGTTTTAAAATTAAGTTCTATTTCAAGTGTCCCAGATTACCCCATTACCAGGGGCAATTTGGGCCGCTTTTATTTTGCATCTGGCACCTGCCTACTTACTTTCCATACTTTTAATGGAATCTTAAATTATTTAACAAGAAGAAAAAATCATATGATCATTAATGAGTAAATGTGAATAAAAATAATGAGAACTGAAATCATTAATATGCCATATTGGTTTTATCATGAGATTTTATAGAGTAAAAAACATCTACCATATATTTTATATTTTAATGGCAAAAGATCTTTACAAACACAGGTGAGATAGCTTTCCCATTAAATGGACAAATTGCAACAATCAAATTAACTGTTGCTATTTACTTCTATGTTGTGGCTGATGTTGTTTTGATGTGGTAAGAAGAAGATGAGATGTTTATGTACTTGAACTTGAACTTGAACTTGAACTGAACCGACGTTTGAGGCCCTCCTGGGCCATGTTCGTCGCTCGTTGTGCTGCTAGCTGCATGGTACTTGCATGTGCGCGTGGTGACACTAAGTCACTAGTGGTAGCAGGATGGGTCATAGAGAGAGGGTAGGGACTGCCAGTGATTATCCAGCCTGTTTTTGAAGGCGTTGACTGATGGGGCGTCGACGACACTTTGGGGCAGACTATTCCAGGTTGTTATTACCCTGTTGGTGAAGAAGTGGCCTCGGATATTGAGTCTGAACCTGTTTTTCTGCAACTTCATGGTGGAGCCTCTCAGTTCGTAATTGGCCGGGGGGTGTTCGAATCGAGGTCGCTCGGTACAATATATGCCGTGAAGGTACTTATAGACCTCAATCATGTCACCTCGACAGCGACGGTGCTCAAGGCTGGGCAATCCCAGGGTTCTCAGTCTCTCTTCATAAGACCTGCCCTTCAGTGAAGCCAGCAGTTTAGTGGCACGTCTCTGGACATCCTCCAGCTCACAGCATAGTTGTTTTGTCTGGGGGTTATACACTGAATGACCATACTCAAGGGCCGGTCGCACTAGGCTCTTATATAGTGTCACAAATGTTTTTTCCGTCAGGCAAGTGAATGAGCGGCGAATGATGCCCACAATTCTGTTAGCTTTCGATGTTGCTTGAGCCACATGTTGATTGAATGATAGAAACCTGGAGTTATTTGGAGTTATTTTACCAAAAAATAAAATTGATTTTACCACCCGGTCAAAGAAACCCCAAAAGCTGGGGTAACAAAGACCATCACTTTTTTTTAAATTAAACTATGAGAGGCAGGAGCCAACAATTTATGGTGAGTAACTATCAATATGGTGATTAATAATTCAGTATCAGTAATTTATGGTGAGTAATAAATTATCAAAACTATGAGAGGCAGGAGCCAGCAATTTATGGTCAGTAAAGCTAGAGTATAGACCTGTATTTTGCATGTTTCAATATAAGTTTAACTTATCTAGTAAAAAAAATGGCATCATTTTGTAAAAAAAGTGGTCAGAGTTACCCCATTTTATGGTACACAGCATTTATTATTCAACTACAATAAAAAATTTGCATCACACGGATACTAACGCTTAAAAAAACATTTTTTGTGCAAATGAAATCGGATTGTGACTGCAATAATCAAACTACAAATCATTCTGGGGTAAAATGCTGCTAAATGGGAAGTTTATAATTCATTTAGATGATTTATTACAAAACTGCTTTAAGCAAAGCATGAAGTGGTACCAACAACTGTTCAAGTTATTGGCAAAAACTGTAGCTAATGCC